ATCATAAAGTTTTTAATTGGATACTTATTAACTATGACTTGAAAATCTGTCATGGTTCCAACCAAAAGACATAGTTAAAAATTTTGGGATTTTGTGATCATTAAATATATTGTGAGAGCTTGTATTCAAATATTTGATATAATGAAACATAAACTTAATGGGAGTATGGTCCTTTGTGGACCATGATAAGCAAATATTATTTGCCGATATTCGACTTGCCTTTGCGTGCTAGGGCAATCGAGTTGGAACACTCTTATTATCTGGGCATAGAGCATAAACCGATGAGGGTTAACAACATTCCTTGATGAGGTTGGAGTTGTCCAGGAGAGTGCACCATAGAGTTGTAATTACATGAAGTCTATGTAACCTTAGACTCATATCTAGGGAGAACCTGTAATCCATAGATTGAGATTGTGTCTCCTTGCCTATTGGCTGAATTTGGTAGCCCAATCATGAACCCTTGCAGTGGTCTGTGGGTCATGGGAACGGCTAGGTTACTTTAAAATTAACTATTTTGATCGTAAATAATTTTCAGATTTGTTCATTTTAATTTTTATAAATATGTAAAATTTTATTTTTACAAAATAGATTTATAAATTAAGAGATATTCAATTTTTAGTATTTAAATATCCATAGATAAATACTATTTATTTCAATATTTTAAAAATCATTTTATGAATCTTATAATTCATCAATTATATGAGGGCCCATCATGAGTTATGGGCCCACCATAAATAAAACACATAGGATAATTTTGTGGGACCCTATAAAGCCATCTAAGGTGGCACACCCCACTCATATTGAATTATACTAACTAAAATCTATTGAAGCCACCAAGACTATCAATTAAGTTGAAATAATAACAATGATTTGAAATTATGGATGATTGATTTCAAAAGATATATTACGTGTAAGAAGATTATGGATAATTAAAGTATGAATGATAATATTTGGCATATTTCATTATTTGATGCGATTAGGTTTAGGAATCTGAAAAATTAAGTTCTAGTGCATTCATTTGAATCATGATGACATATCTACATATTTGATGGCTTAGATCTTTCACCATACAGATCTTCTATGATTAATGGTTTGGATCTAGTTTCTATAAGGATGGCTAACCTTAAATAAACACTAACCTCTAGAAATTCTATAAATAGATATTCTCTCATCTCTAAATCTCTACACATCTCATTTCTCTACTCTCCACCCTCTAGGGTTTTCTCTTCTCTCTCTCATCAAAGATCGCTCACATCTCTCTTCATTATAATATTGAAAGGGGGCCACGCCCACTTAGGTAGGTATTGGAACCTAGCGCCAAGACATTCGCAAGTTCCACCATTGCTCTTATATTATTAAAGGTAGTAACAAAGGCTTTCCCATATTTTGCAGATATGAGATATACTATTGATCCATGTGACATTGGAAGAGGAGACCCGATATTAGGATATGCTAAGTCCACTTGGTAATTTTTTGACATCTTACTTTGTGGTTTACAATATCTTTATTTCTTGTACTTTCTTATTCTCATAAGCATTTTGTTTCTTTGTTTACTAAATAAAAGATATTATGATTAGTGGCATCAAGTACGAACATTTTTTGGTTATTTATGTATTTTTTGAAGTAAATTTTATTGTACTTGGATTTTTGTAAGTGTTCTAGTCAATGAAAAAAATAAAAATAAAAATAAAAATAAAAATAAAAAACCATATACACCATTCTAGATCATCTTATCTAACTTTTAAAGATACGTTTAGATCTCAAATTTTTCACATCCATATTGATCACCTTGTGAATAATTTCAAGATACAAAATAGTCATCATCCCACAAATGGACTATTAATCGTAATAAAACAACTCAGGCCATTTTTTAACAAAATAATTTATCAAAATACACCTATAGTTTAACTATTCAACATTTTGTAGTTTCAATTATGGCATTAAATATCATAAGTGACAATGCAAAGATAGGGGAAAAAGAAAAGAAAAGAAAAGAAAAACTGAAAATACAAATTATGGTAGGCAAATAATAGAGTTGAAATTATATTTTATTAGCTAAGAAATAATTATTTCTTGATTAATAACTACTTGAAAATATGAAAAAATCCTTAATATCTTTTATTTATTTGTATTAAACATGATTTGAAATATTTTTAGATAATTATTATCTAATAAAATCCTATACGTGAAGATAGAACCAACAAATTCTCTCTCTTTTTTTTTTCTTCTCTATAACCAAATCTATTTTTAAAATGTTATTTGAAAATCGAAAAGCTATTTTAATGATCAACAATCAATATCATGTGCAAAGCACGTGTATTTCACTAGTATTTATTTATGCGGGCAAATAAAAAATAAAAGGACAATAAAATGGTGGTTTAAAACTTGAAGCTTTGAGTCTTTTTACTTTACTTTTTTGAGGGACCGGTTCGAAACTTCAATATCTAAACCACCCAAACCATAGATAAAATACTTTGGATTGGAATTTAAAACCCAAACAAGTGTATTGTGGGAAAAAAAGTTACAACATAAACAAAAGAGGTATAAGCGCAAAGAGTAATGATATTATGAGACCCTCCCACACCCATGTGAGTAAGACCAAAATGATCACCATTAAATTTTAACACAGATCTGTAGAAAAGTTATCAATAAACTCATTCATCCAAGTCCTACACCTATGTGATAACTTTTATAGAGATTTATGTCAAATTTTAATAGTGATCATTTGGGGTCCTACTCACATGGGTGTGGGAGGATCTCATAGTGTAATTACTGCATTTGAGTAATTACACTATGAGACCCTCTCACACCCATGTGAGTAGGACCTCAAATGATCACCATTAAATTTTCACACAGATCTCTAGATTAGTTATCAATAAAATGCAAAATATTTTGTACTTTACATTCATGTCATACTTTTTAGAGCACATCTAATATTCCAATTTTATGTTTCTATACATTTGATTGAGATTAAACTTTGCATGTTCATACTTCTCACCATTGCTCTTCAGAAAATATAATAAATAACTAATATGAATAACATTACCAAAATGCATGTATGAATTTTAGAGGTATTTTCATCATTTTATTTATTTAAAGTTGTTGCTTGAAGGAAATTTACCACAAAATCTTATTTTATTTTTTATATTTAAAAGTAGTATCATATATTTCATATGTGACACTTAATCCCACTTTTGAAAGAACAAAGTGTAGTTTAATTTTAGATAAAATTATCAAAATATAATTTGAGATGAACTATAGAATATTTTGCCCATTTACTCCAACTAAAGACCATATATTTTATATGGGGTATTATGAAACTAAATCAAAAGATAGAGGTGAAATGTTAAATAGTTTATCATTTATGAGTGCTTTGGTAAATTTTTATTAATTTTATTTCTTCGTGATACATCTGATTAAGCTCAATCTAACAAGTTTATATTCTAGTTTTATGTTTCTACACATCTGATTGAGATTAAACTTTGCATGTTCATACTTCTCACCATTGGTCTCTAAAAAATATAATAAATAATTAATATAAATAACATTACCAAAATGCATGTATGAATTTCAACGGTGCTTTCATAATTTTATTTATTTAAAGTTGTTGCTTGAAGGAAATTTACCACAAAATCCTATTTTATTTTTTATATTTAAAAGCAGTATCATATATTTCATATGTGATACTTTAATCCCACTTTTGAAAGCACAAAATGTATTTTAATTTTAGATAAATGTATCAAAATATCATTTGAGATGAACTGTATAATATTTTGCTCATTTACAATTTCCAACTAGCGACCATATATATTTTTATGAGGTATTCTGAAACTAAATCAAACGATAGAGGTGAATGTTAAATCATTTATCTCTTATGAGTGCCTTGGTAAATTTTTATTAATTTTATTTCTTTTTCATACATCAGATTAAGCTCAATTTAACATGTTTATATTTTTAGCATCACATATTTATACAAAATATTTAAAATTAATTAAAAATAATAAGCAACAAAATATCCTTACAATATTAGGGGTATTTTGATAAATTTATTTGAAATATGATAATTTAGCATATATACCATACTCCATCAAGAGCGTAGTTTACATTTAGCTCCTTGGTATAAATACCTACTTGACAGGATTTTTTCGATATGAAATTTTGGGAACCACCTAAGAATCAATAGATGATTATTCTCAAAAGAATGTTCTAAAAATTGGTTGGTCTCTATTCAATCTTGAGACATTATTTTTTCAAGTGCATAGCGGGTGCAATTAGGAAGTTCTTTTAGTGAGTTTAATCTACCGTTGAAGGGGTCGTATCTCCAAAATTTGGGGGCCTAAGATTAATTATAGGTGGTTTATTGGAGGGAATAAATAGACTATAATATCCGCAATTTTTTAAAACTTAAAATCAATTCAGTACCCCAAATTTTGGAGGTATAGTCATTTCAACCAATAGATTAACCTCAATAAAAAAACATTTTCCTATTGCACCATCTAAGCACTTGAAAATAACAATGTTTCGAGATTGAATGGAAATCATTCAATTTTTAAATGGTGAAATCTAAGTGTTAAAAAACTTAAATTTCAATTTTCTTCTTTTGAGAATAATCATCTACTAATTCTTAGGTGGATTTCAATATTTCATATTGAAGAAGAAAAAAAAAAAAATCCCCCAAGTAGGTTTCCCTCAATAAGGGAGTAGAAGTCAATTGTACTCCTAAATGAGGATAATATTGTTTATGTAAATTACTTTCGGGATTGCCGAGGGTCAATTTAATTTTTGTAAATAGGGGTTGCAACTATTATTGCCCTTTAAATTTCAAAATGAATAATCATTGAATAAATACATAATTTTAAATTTGTTTTTTCGAATTTTATGACTCAGTCCAAGCCATCAAATTTCGTAGCCACTGCCATTTGGTTAGCTGAAGTTGTTTCTGGCCGACATACGGCGCAGCTTCAAAGAATTTGCTGGCATGGTATATAAGTAAATAACGGCCGCAGAGCAGAGCGAGGACTCGTACCGAGTGCCGGGACAAAAATATCGAACCGGCCCGGACTTGTTTCTTCACTTGCCCTGAGTTGCAGGGATCTCTCTCTAAACACAACAAAAAAGACTCGGCTCAGCTCGGAAGGTACGCTTAACTCTCTCTCAAAAGTCTTAAACTCAACCCAGGAGACGCTCTCTATCTCGCTGGACACAGGAGATACGATTAACTGGGAGAAGGGAGTAGTTCATGGAAGAGGAGGCGTGGAACAAAGAGATAGTTCCTCGAGTGTTGCAGTTAGTTAGCCAGAGGCAGAGGCTAGGTCTCAGGGACCTCTGCACTCTGTTGCTTCTCAGTCCATCTTGTTACCACGCCCTTCTTTCTCACCATCATCTGTGGGAGGTACTACATCTTAATGTGCTCATTTGGCTATTCTGAATACTCTCCTCTGCTATTTGAATTCTCATGATTTTTTCTTCTCTTCTTTGTGTTGTCGTTAAACCTCTGCTTTTGATTGGAACTCCTGTTGTATCTCACTCTTCAAGAAAAAAATGTCACATCTTGTTTTTTAAAAGTTTTTGAGGCAACTTTTTGTCTTTTTGAAGAAATGTTAACTTTTGTATATATTAAGAATGTAATTTACAATAGATTTCAAAAGAAGGCATCCCACAGGTTTTTGAGGCAACTTGATGTTTTATTTTTCTTAAATCAACACCTTGATTCGTCAAAATTAAACAAAATAACAAACCTTAAGGAAAACAGAGGAGTGGTGAAGGAAGAAAACTAGCAAAGACAACGAGGAATCCACCTCCAAAGTTCTCATACCAAAAGTAATAAATATGCCGCAAAACCCTTAATAACAAGTATTTAAGCAAACTCAAAACCCTGCTCCAAAACCCTTTTTCACAAGTATTTAACAAACTCAAAACCCTAATATCTCATAATAAATTCTATCCATCTATTCTATTTAATTCTAGCCATCTTCCTTGCCAGCCAATTGGTTGTGACTGAGGCCTACATGAATCATTTAGCCCCACTTGAAAGGAACTTGATTTTAGTGAGTTGTCTTTGATATAAAGGCAGTATAAATCTGGATCCTCCTTGTTGAACTCTTTCTCAGAAATCCACGTGCTGTAGGAATGTGGTCTGCTCTTCCATTTGACTAGATGTTGGTGATATGAACCGTTTCAAGTTTGAAAGCTTTGGGTCTTCAAAACTCGCTCAATTTCTTCATCTTTCTTTCTTGGTAATTGTTTAATTATTTCAACGATTACTTCTTCTTTGGCTTATAGAGGGTCTCTTTGAAATTTAAATAAACCAACAACATTAAATATCGTAAGATATCTAATACGTTTGGTAATTCCACCTCTTACGCACTATTCCCCTATTTTTTCAAAATTTGGCAGGGGGACGCACCTTCTGGGACTTGAGCTTATTGTAGGTTCCCAGTGGAAACCTCTCTTTTCACAAGTATACCATTAATAAGTCACCCTCCTTGAAAATTTTCTCTCTTCGATACTCATTTGAAGCATCTTGATAATTTGCATTACTTTCTTTCTATTTTCTCTTTGATTTGGGGTTGCAAGTCTTGAGATGCTCAGTAAAAGCATTGACATCATCACTCACCTTGCCTTCCATTGGTAATGGCGTTAGAGGTTGAGCACATGTTAGGAATCCTCCCATTAACAATGTCAAATGGTGATTTTCTCGTCGGCTGATAAACCGAATTGTTGTAAGCAAATTCAGCTACTTTAAAGCAAGGTTCCATTAAGATATGTCATCCCCAACAACACTTCTCAAGAGGTTACCAAAGCTCCTATTCAAGACTTTCTTTTGCTAATCTATTTGAGGGTGATAATCGCTAGAAAATTGAAGCTTCGTTCAGGTGCTTTGGTAGAGTGTGCCAAAAAGGACTCAAAAACTTTGTCCCAATCAGATGTAATAGACTTGGGGTTATCGTGTGGCCTCACGATCTTTTGTAAAAGGATATTAGCAATGTCTGTGGCATCCATAGGTTTTGCACAAGGAATAGAATGTGCCATTTTGGAAAATCAATAAACAAAAGCAAAAATACTCCATACCTCGTGTGATTCACAGGAGTCCTAGTACAAACTCCATAGAGACTTCAACCTATGGGGGTATCTAGAATAGAAAGGGGAGTATAAAGACTTGTATTTTTGTTTGACCTTTGGATACTTGGCAGATTCGACATTAGGTCACAAATATCTGAACATCCCTTTGTATGCGTGGCCAAAAATATTTTTCTTCTATCACATCTGAAGTTTCATCTCTCCCAAATTACCCACCTAAGCCTCACCATAAAGTTCCATAATTATCTTGTCCCTTAGGGAGCACTTAGGTATACATAATCGTACACCCTTAAATAAATAACTATCAGACATTAGGTACTCCCCCAAGGGGTCTCGTCCTTCCATACATCTTTCTAGGACCTTGCTGAAAATTAGATCATCCTTGTGCTTTCTATCATTTCAAATCCCTCTTCTTCCATGGCCATTCCAAGCAAATCCACCATTCTCCTTAAAGTATCAGCTACCTTATTTTAGGTTCCAACATTGTGCTTTAGCAAGTTAGGTATATACTTGAAGGAAGGCTATCCACTTAGCATGATGCCCATTTAACTTATTTTGGGAGTTCAAGAACCGAAGTGCTTGATAACTGAGTATAGAATAAGCTCCCTATGAGTCAAGTAGTGCCTCCAATAATGCAACATGTGCATTATTGCATAAAACCCTAGGTCATTGATTGAATAGTTCTTACGTGCATAATTCAACTTCTAAGGAAAGCCACTACTCAGCCCTCTTGACTTATAATTGCCCCTATGCCAATGTTCGATGCATTGATTTCAACTTTAACACCTTGGAAAAAATCTGGTAATGCAAGTTTTGACGTGTGTATCATCTTTTGTTTAATTAAGTTGAAGCTCTTATCAGCAACAGAACTTTATGAAAACCTTCCAACCCTCATGCAATCAGTCACTGCTGCTATTGATGTGCTGAAATTTCAGAAAAAGCAGCAATAAAAGGTCTCTAGGCCATGAAAAGAACACACTTTAGTGAGTAACTTTAGCACAAGCGACCTAGCTATAGCCTTCACTTTTCTTGGTCCACCTTAATGCCCTTGGATGAGATGATGTACCCCAAAAAGATGGCATTATTTGTCACGAAGGAGCAATTTTTTTAAACTTAAAAAAAAATTATTCCTTAGTGTGTCAAAGACTTGTTCCAAATGGTTAAGATGATGATTTGAGTTAGAATTGGAAACAAAGATATCATCAAAGTAAACCACAACAACTTTACCAATAAAAGAATGATGTACCTCAGTCATTGGGCTCATGAAAGTGCTTGGTACATTAGAAAGCTTGAATAGCATCACCAACCACTCATAAAGTCCATCCCGAGATTTAGATGTGTTCTTCCTTTCATCCCCAGGACAAATCCAGATTTGATGGTAATCATTCCTTGAATCAATCTTTGAGAAAAGTTTTTCCCAATGAAGCATATCTAACATGCTGTTGAGCCTAAGTATGGGCAATTGGTATTTGATAGTAATTTTTTTTTAATCGTTCGACTATATACACATCCTCCATTGACCGTCCATGTGACATCCTTTTCCAAATCAGGCCCCTTTTAAACCAATCAGCAACTTGCCTATGCAGCTCCTCATGTTCCATAGGGCTCATTCCATGCACCAAATCAATGTGATGTTGGATATTTCTCATTGGTGGAAGTCTAGTAGGCAAATTTTCTAGCATTAAGTCGTTATACTTCTCAAGTAGAAGCTCTAGAGAATTAGAAATGATGTAGGTGCGGAATTTTCTCTTGCAAGCAACACTAATTACATTCATATCCTTACTGTCCTCTTTTAATTTGTGCACATTAAGGAATTTTGTACTTGCTTCTCAGTGGATTTGGGTGTAGAAAGTTACTTCATAGGGTGGAGTGTGATGCTAATATTATATTTGTCAAAGGAGTAAGTGTTTGACTTGGTCTTATGCACCATATCCGATCATAAAGTCATGGTCTACCAAGCAAGATGTGGCATGCATCCATGGGCACTACATCGCACCATACTTTATCTTTATAAGTTATGCCAATAAAAAAAGAAACTAAACATCAAGTAAGAACTAGTACCTTGCCTCCTTTCTTGAACTGTTGAATTTATTTGTGCTCCTTTAATTTGAGTTTTTCCACCATCTCCCTGGATAGATATTTTCGCTATCCCCACCATCAACTAGTGTTATGCATAATTTGTAGATGATGTCGAGTCATCATAATCATCATCACTATCCCCTGGACATGCATAATTTGCATGCATCCATGGGCACTACATTGCACCATACTTTATATTTATAAGTTGTGGCAATATAAAAAGAAACTAAACATCTAGTAAGAACTAATACCTCGCCTCCATACTTGAACTGTTGAATTTGTTTGTGCTCCTTTAATTTAAGTTTTTCTACCATCTCCCTGGACATGGTATTTTCACTATCCCCACCATCAACTAGTTATGCATAATTTGTAGATGATGTCGAGTCATCATCATCATTATCATTTGAGCTTCATCCCAACTATTTGGGGTCGGCTACATGAATCCTGTTCTGCCATTCTGCTTTATCAAGGGTTATACCCTCAGTCAGACCATAGGTCACCATATCTCTTATCACTACTTCCATCTATGTCCTTTTGGACCTTGCCCTTGCCCTTTTAGAGCCTTCTACTTGAACCAAATCGCTCCTCCTAATCGGTGTTGTTCTTGTCAAGCTGCACATGACCAAGCTGCACATGGCCAATCTACTTAAGTCTATTTTCCCCATCTTATGGCCTATTGAAGCCACCCTTAAGTTCCCTCAGATGCATTCATTCTGAATTCTATGCTGTCTTGTCTTGACACTCATCCATCTCAACATCTTTATCTCAACTACACTCGTTCTATGAATATGTTGTTTCTTGACTATCCAATAGTTCATCCCCTTCTATAGAACTTTGCCTTTATTTTCATCAGTACCTGACAATCACTTAAGACTTTAGAAGCTCTTCTCCACTTCGTCTACCTAGCTCTAATTCTATACGCGACGTCTTCCTCAATGCAATTGATGTCAAGTGTTTAGAAAAATATTTTGCTGCAGCCACTTATCTTCATTAAATAGTTTTGACTGTTGAGAGCATGATCACTAGACGACTAGGGTTTCACTCCCTTTGTCTCCATACAAATTCTCATTGATCCTTGTGAGAGGGTTAGGTTCTTCATAGGACTAGCTTGTCCCAATATCACCCTTTTCCTCTTATGTTTGCTCTTTATCATCTTTTACACCATAATTTTCTTCTACTAAATCGACTTTCACATTAGGTTGACAGGAAGGTTAATTATATGCTTTATGCCCG